GTGTAAACTAGTTTCTATTTATTTATGTTGTTTTAGTTGTTTCGATTGAACGAGGATCGCTCCTGAGCTTTTGAGCAGATTTTCTCTTACCGGTAACCTATATTTAAAAAATGCTGCATAATGTTTTAATTTTTACAATAAATTTTGATTCGACAATGTCAATTTAACTAATTACAGTTAAAACTCCATGATTTAATTCCATACCAAAATTAAAGCATTAAATGAGGAACTATATTTTGTGGCGGAAGGTTTTTTTTTAAGAAGAAAATGATCATTTTTTTCTCTTTCGAAGTATTTAAGTTTAGATTCCTATTTATACATGCACTAGTCTTCACACAGAGTTATTTTATGCAGTGAACAGTTTTATACTGGTCCTTAATCATATATTGAATAAACTGTCATGAATTCTATTATCATATTTGATAAGTAAAACAAATATATTGTGAAAATCAAGTAAAAAATAACTTAAGCTTAAAATTAGCATTTTTTTTTAGTAATATCTAAAAATTAACATCACAGACCCCCACTTTTAATTTTCTTTTCTGAATATATAAGATACTTTTAACCATTCGTCTTAAATTCAGTAAAATGTCATTACCTTTAAATGATTTTTTTTTACTTGTTAAATTTTTATTCCCAGAAAAATGAATTTTTTTGGGTGCAAAAATAATTGGACATGCGGAATAATTTGAAAATGTTTTCGTTGTCACAAATTTTAATGTGTCAATTCAAGACGAAATAAGACTGTGTTTGTTCCCATAATTTATTTAATTAAAAATGTTGGAGGAAAAACTTTTAAAATTGATTGATGTGTAAGACGTATTTACAGTGCAAATAGGTCAAACTAAATGCTCTGTAGAGCCAAGATTGACCCCCATTTTTTGTTTTGATTCTTAATTAAGCTATGTGTATAAATTCTAAAAATATACTTGATAAAAAAAAAATCATTACTTTTGATGGCAGGATCCAACCTCCTTAATATTTTATCGAGTACACCATAACCTTATAATTCAATACTTTGGAAATTGATTGAATGAATCAAATTACACCGAATAACAATGATTAAAAAATAAAATTAAAATATTTTAGTCGCAGTCGGAATGCCAGCCTTTTTGTCTCATTATTAAATATACGTCACATAATTATTTTTTTATTATTCAAATATAATTATCATTTTAAATTTATCATAAAACACGTCTAAATAATGAGTTTAATTTTATAAATATTTTCTACATGCTATTATCGCGTCTCCCCTTCTTTAATTTTTTTTTCAAATTCTTGTCGTCACTGCTTTATAAAAATCATTTAACTAAACTTTTTCGTGACTGAATGATCAAATTACGGAAACTTATTGCTGACAGTTGAAAATATTTTTTGCTGTGTCATAGGTACGGGGTACTTAGTCGTACGTATGAGAAAGCAAGTCGTAATTGACAAGATAAATCAAGCACAAACGACATAATATGTTGTAAGAACGAGTAATTAGTAATTACGAGATAATATTTCCTTAAAATGAGATAACAAGTCGTAAAAGAGGGGCATACCATAAAACCTGGTCTTTGGCCTGGCCTGGCTTCCAACGCAGCTCTATTAGGGCTGCTTAAAGGGGGCGGAGCCTAAATTATAGGGAAATGTTCACTGTGACATCACACAAAAAAGCAATTGCTCACAATAACAGAAAATGAAAAAAAAATTGCGATTTAAAACTGCATAAGAGTAATTAACTACATGAAAATTAACCACTGCATTCATTTTTGTCGTTAGTTAAATCCCACACAGCAAGATATAAACAAGTCATCGATCGCAATGCACTTGTCAACATGACGTCATCATGGTAAAATTTGATGCATTTTATGTGCAGTGAGAGACGGATCAAGTAGCTTTACACAGTGGAAAACGCATTTTATTATTAAACAGAATATTATTTGTAAATTTTAGGTACACCATTAATACATAATTGAAAACTTTGTTTAGTGCCATTATGTAAAAACTGTCGAGAAAATGTATTGAATTAATTCTACCATGTTTTTATACAGGGTTTGCATGCTTCACGCCGAGGTTCTTCATTAAATAGCCTTTTTGCAAGGGCATACACTAAGTAGATCTTGACATATTTAAAATATAGAAAACGGAAACATTCCTTGACTTGAAAACTCTGCTGCGTCCCTGAAATCGAGAGCATTTCTTAAGAAATACATAAAATACTTGGAAAAGGTCACAAATATTTCGACTAGAACTAAATAACTTGACATTTAAACGAATAGAATGAGAATTCTATTTAAAGCAGCAGCACTTTCCATAAACTACATTGTACAAGATATGTAGAAACAATTTATTACTAATTTTTTTTTTAATTTTAACTAGGGTATGTCCTTGCGATATTGAAATTTGTTCATGACCTACAAGAGAAAACATTAGATGCATTTATCACGTGCATGCACGTATCCTGTACAAATAATGTGACCAAACCAAATTCAATACAGAGCAGGGTATTCAATGTATTTTTTTTAATTAATATTAAAGTCATGTGATAATATAGTAGAACTCAGTTTATAAAGCTTTGTATTTGTAAACCTATAGGGTTTCGAATGAACATTTTAAACTTGGACTTTATTCATAACACAATTATTCTAGTTATTAATAGTGACAGTAAAATAAAATAAAAGTTTGTTAAACGGGGATATACATTGTTGGTGTACCACATACAGTGATTTTAAAATTGGAAAAGAGACTTTAACATCATGAACTATAATTATATTGTTAAAACAAATTGGATGTTGTTAGTGGTACACTGAGCTATAATTTTGTAAATTTTTTTGTAATGAAATTGATCAGAATAGACCAATCAAGCCCATCGATAATAAGTAATAAAATTTGAACGGAAACGAAAATTTACTATTAAGATTCTTGATTAAGAGTCATAAAATCGGGAACTTTGAAGCAGATACGGACTACGGACTAAGCGTAGGTGGTATGGCAATGTTAAGTTAGCCAATGAAAAGTACTTTTATATCCGGGACCATGAATACCCTCTGAGCACAAATATCCCGTTTTGCCGGAAAAAGGCATTCTACTCTATCCTTCTTTCTTTTGACCATTCATTAGGCATCCATTGACTCTTTGGATTACAATTTGGACTCTAATTTTTTTTAACCTCACCTTAAATATTACTTTTGGAGTTTTAGTTCTACGCTCTTCTGAAATATTTGGGACGGGTCTTTAAAATTTTGGCTACAACCAGTGTATTGGTCTATTCTGACGAAATTTCAGAAACAATCATTTAAAAATCTATACAATCACGGCAGAATAATAAACTTTTCAGAAAAACTTACAAACTTTATTATTGGCTTACAATTTATGCAGGTTTATATTCTGTTGATTTCTTCAAAGTACGCCTTAACAGTGCTACAAAGTTAGCCTGGCCTCTTTCTTGGCCTCAAATTCGGCTCCAAACCAAACTTTGGCCTAGCCTCAAATTTGGCCTCTGTAAAAACTTTTGGCCTCTATTTTGGCCTCATTACTTTAAAATAAATAACATAAACAATAATTGATAACTTGTTTCTGGGCAGTACTACTGTAATTGGATATCGGATCACAAAAAAAATAAATAAATAAAAAATTGCAGCATGGTTCTTGACATGGAGTCAAAGTTAATTAATCATACAACATATATGTGCATTGTCAGTTAAGCCACACATGTTTTGTAAATAATTTCCTGCTTCAACTTCCTTTTCCCACATTTATCAAAACAAAAGGTGATTTTGATAGCAGTTTAATAACACTGATGTTTTGAAACACTTGCATCCTATCAACCAGACTATTAGGACCCTATAGCATATGGTCAATTACTTGCATATCACAGTGATGACAATATTTTTATAATTTTAGATAAGAGTCCACGTCATAAAAAGGCATTTTTTAAATTCTTAATAACAACAGTTTTAAAATACAAACCAGTAACACTTAAAGTAACAAATATAAATTCTTTTTAGTTCTTAGGTTATTATTACCTATCTGCGCTCATTTCTTTGTTGTCTTGATAATTGAAAGTAATGCTTCTAAACTTTTACTGTGAAGATATCATTAATTCCACCTTGGAAGTTAATTAATATATTATTATATATATATATATATATATATATATATATATATATATATATATATATATATATATATATATATATATATATATATATATATTAGTTTTATAGTATGCCGTAAAAATTCGTAATAACGAGAAAAAGAAGTCGTTATAACACGGTAAGTCGTACAATGGGAAAAGTTGCTCGAATGAAATTCATATGAAATTCGCATGTGGGACATTTCGCACGATTTTTTTTTTATGATTTTCACATAAATTTCATGCGAAAAGGCAGACGCATGAAAATCATGCGAGCCACTTTTCCATGTACAAACGACATGATAACTTATACAAGATACTAAGTCGTTATAACGAGATACGGTATCTCGCAATACCGAGAAAATAAGTCGCACAAACGAGATAATGAATCTTAATAACGAGATACTACTTTTGTAAATCACATGCACTTACACCAAAGCGTCTCGTTTACATTCATATTGTAATTATCTGCATTTATAAACGGATCTACTTTCTTTCATCTTCACCTAGATGAATATATTTATTTATTTTGCAACTTAGAAGAAATTTTTCCGTTGAAGATTTAATGTGATGAGTAGATCGAAGTACAAATTTTTGCTGTTGTTCAATAAGGCAAGTGTTAAAAATATTTGGGTGTTCACTTAGTTACATGTACATCTAATTAATTTTTCAGAAACGTCTCCTTTTAGATTTTGCTCAAAATATTTCCAGTTACAGGAAGTTATGGTCAGGTTCCCTACAAATAAGGAAGCAATACAAATTTCTCGCATTGTGTCATCACCAAAGTATAGAAAGCTTTAAGTTTACTGTGCTGTTGATTACAGGATTTCTTTGTGCTTTCCATACTTGCAAAAATAGGACATTACAACTTTGAACAAATATGTGGGAAGATGATGACCATTTATGCCAACTTTTGGCAGACAACTTAATCAACGCAGTCGGATTCCTGCCTGTTCAAAGGTTGAATAGACGCGTGGATGAAATCCTTTCGGATATTCATTATTTTGGAAGAAACGTTGAAGTCATTCAGACAGGGAGTTGGGCCGAAGGTTTCCGCATGAATGGCACAGATGTTGACAGAATGTATATAGATAAAACCGCAATAGCATCAGAAACTCCAGGAAAAATACCAAACAGATTTTGTGCCATCAAAATAGACACCTCTTCAGATATCCAAAGGGGATATGCGAAATTGATATTGCTTACCCCACAGAAAGCAGAACAGCACTTGCAACATGCAGTGGTACCTCAAGACGGAACCCTGTACATATCAAGTAAAGCGTATATAGAATCATATGTCGAAGAAAACCAGGAAACACATGGACCCTGTGTAAGAAGAGTGGCTCAACAAGGAACTGAGCAAGATGACGCACACTGCTTACGCTGTGCACATTGGCCATCTGATGCAATGGAATGGTACCACAGAAGTAGACTACATGGGTGGCCAGAATATCAGTTGCTGAAGGACATCTACAAGAAATGCTGCCATGTGGTACCAATTGGTCCCAAATTCATCGACAGTAATGGACTTTGGTCTGTTGACACATTGGCATGGCGATTTTCCTTTTCAGTCGCAGAAAAGAGATTAGTTAATACATTTAATGATACACAATTCCTGGTTTATGGCATTTTCAAGCTTTTGGTCAAAGAGGCATTCCAAGAGACTCAAAACATTTTATGTTCGTATTACATGAAAACGCTTTTGTTTTGGTGTATTGAAGAAACACCAAAAGAACGGTGGAGGAAAGAACGTTTAGTTTCCTGTATAGAGATCTGCTTCAAACGGCTGATTATGTGGGTTTCAAATGGATATTGTCCCAACTACTTTGTCAGAGAAAACAACATGTTCCATGGCAAGTTAGACGAAGTTGAACGTGAATCCCTTGTTATTCATTTGTCAGAACTGTATGGAGAGGGATGGAGATGCCTTTTGACTTGTCCATCCTTACACAATCTCAGAGATGATCTACAGAGAATAAGACTTGGAATACTTGAAATGCCGAACAATGGCATAAGCCCGGATGAAGATTTCAGAGGATTGATTGCACAAACAAGGAATGATTCCACTTCAATTTCGGAAGACACTGAAGACAATGCAATCTTTTGTCAATTAGAGTCTGTCGTTCAGGGTCATCCAAACTTCCGAAGTCTTGAAACACAGCTTTTCAATGCAGTGGCCCTTTTACTTAGAAAGGAAACGCAACTTTATACCTTCATGAACGAAATCGTGACACTCTATCTGTATAAGACTTTACAACACATAGCCATGATATTTCTTTATAAAGCATTTAATGACAACCGAAAATGTAAACGTTTTCGGTACAGACAAATTAGACGGGCACTCGACTTGATGAAATTTACAAACTGCGCAGATATAAGTAGAGGGAGACTAACTTTAGCAACGACGTTTTACTGTTTTGGATATTACTACAAGGCTTTGAAAATAATCCGACAATACGAAGTCTTTCTTGAAGATAATCAAGGTGTTCTTTATGTAAGCTCTAGGTTTCCAAATGATGTGAGTGAAGAATACATTATAAATTTCTGTAATGGTAATTTATCAAGAATTGAAAAGGCCTCAATGGGCGTTTCGTACGATTTTGAAGTATATAGAACAATGCCAATTCATCCAAAGGAAATAGCTTTTGAAATACTCCTGGTGAGAGATACTTCAGCTTTTCTTTCCTTCCCACCACGTGCTTATTCCAAATTTTTGAAGGCTCTGTGCTTTTCTAAGATAAATGACATGTATAGTGTGAAAATTCTAAAGGAGGAACTGTCAAGCATTCTTCCATCGACCCCTGATACTGCAATTTATCTCTTTTATACAATGCTGGCAATATTGGAAGCCAAATTAGATCGATTTGACAAAGCTTATCGAAATTATTATTTGGCATACTGGCATAAGAAGTATTTGACTTTGAAAGAAGAACATTGTTGTGAATGGGATTCCTTACAGTCACCCCTGTTGAACGTGGCTGTAATGGTGAGACTCTTGATTTAAACTTGCACTGTATTTTTAAAATTTGAAATGGCATGAATTTGCTCATTTGGCTCTCTTTAACTGATTGTTATTTTTAATTATGAAAGAGGACACTTAACATTAGCTTGCACTATGAGGGCATTTTATTTTCCCTTAGTTTTGTCAATGTAATACAATTTCAAAAACCATCAATAAGGCACATAGCACTAAGAGACCACTTTAAATGATTACAGTAGTTTAATGTAATTTAAATTATAACCTTCCGAGTTTTATCTTGTTTAACCTTAAAAATTAGAATATTTTGGTATTAATTTTGTAAAACTTTTTTGGCATTAAAAAAAAACCTATTTTGTAATAACCTACAATGTTTTAAACGGATTATTTACATTAATAACCCGTAGAATTGCAGAAAAATAAACAACAAACTAATATTTCAGTGGCATAGATTGATTGATTGATTGTATGTTGTTTTACGTCCCGTTCGAGAATTTTTCACTCATATAGAGACGTCACCATATACCGGTGAAGGGCTTCAAATTTTGACCTTTACTCGGCACTCAGGGCCATTGAGCAGTGAGGGATCTTTATCGTGCCAACGCCTGCCGTGACACGGGGCCTCGGTTTTTAAGGTCTCATCCGAAAGACCGGCAACTTTCACTTCAAAGTGCCGAGCGCATGGCGAAGGAAAAGTTGCTACCCATTTTATCGACTTGGGTCTGTCGCGGCCGAGATTCGAACTCACGACCTCCCGATCACGGAGCAAGCGCTCTACCGACTGAGCTACCGTGAACAGTGGCATAGAAGTATCTATAAAGAAATGGCAGATAGTGCATCACATCACAATCCTCCGCTGGAGGATTGTTAGTCCTCGAGAATCTCTACAGCCCAGTAGCTAACTACTTCAGTACTACCTTATGGATATATATTTGAATGCTGTGGTAAAAGATTATATCCCTCATAGCTCTGATACTTCGACGTATCGTATTTGGGCTCCAGTCTTTGGCACCCTTTTTCAGCTCTGCAAAGCCTTTTTACCGTTCACGGTAGCTCAGTCGGTAGAGCGCTCGCTTCGTGATCGGGAGGTCGTGAGTTCGAATCACGCGACTGACCTAAGTCGATAAAAAATGGGTAGCAACTGTTCCTTCGCCATGCGCTCGGCACTTTGAAGTGAAAGTTGCGGGTCCTTCGGATGAGACCTTAAAAACCGAGGCCCCGTGTCACGGCAGACGTTGGCACGATAAAGATCCCTCACTGCTCAATGGCCCTGAGTGCCTAGTAAAGAGTGAAAAATTCTCGAATGGGACGTAAAACAACAATCAATCAATCAATCAATCAAAGTCTTTTTTATTTACATATTTTGGGTTTCCAACGTTTCGGCTTAAGCATCACTAAAGAGACATAATTTGTCGAAATGTGCATCTGGTGCATCAAACTTGGTACCGTATATGATTTATATGGACAAATGAAAAACAAAATATGCCAGGCAGAATACACATCAAGACGACCACTTCGCATCTTAACTCAATGACTTAATGACTCACTGACTTAATGACGGACCCATCATATTATATGATTTGTTTTTAAATGTAACGGTACATTGTAGCGAGACAGGTGTTCCATGTACATGCAAATGAATCATTTACTTTAAGTGCATAATCGAACAAATTTTATGGGGTTTGCATTCTAAGTACTGTCTAAAAATATTAGCTATATTAAGGAAGGAAATGGGAAATGTGATCTTAATACATTCCTAAAACATACTATTATAATCTATATCAAAAAGTAACTGTATATACGTGTAGATAAGGTAATATTGGTACCCATTATAAATACGATAGTGTCATACTTAGTATCAGTTCAGCTGTGTCACGTGACTTGTATAAAAATAATATTCTAAAGTTGAATGTAGAAAATGTCACTAGTGCAAGGGCGTACGCATGTTTCTGGAAATAAAAATTGATAAATTAAAAGAGGATAATATTGTCTTCCTGAAAGTGCCAGAAGCAAGTACATGTATGTGCTGTTTCGGAAGTACTAGTAATTTTGTCAGAAAAACGTGCAATAGCTGGAAATTCCTATATTTCGCTTAAATTCTGTTATGAATGAAAATAACAGTATGCAGGCTATAATCAGCTCCAAGCACTTTTCATAACAACAATTATTAGAATAATAATTGTATTTATGTATTTAATGTGGGTATTTATGTAGAGGATTCTATAAGAATTAAATGCTTGTAAACTTCCTTTATTGTAAAAATTTTTAGATCCACGCCTTGGCCAATGTACTTATTAATTTCGCCTAGCCAAGGATTGTATAACGTCACGTGGTCAGCTTAGCGAGTCAGTTGTATTTTGATACCCGCACGCTGACCACCGTTTACAAAGAGTCACGTCTAATTTCAAGACATTACAACTTTTTGTGATCGTTATAGTCATCCAGGAGGCGTGCTTTCTCGTTCTGTCGAGTACCTGACGTTTAAAAGAAAAGCAAAATCCAATGTACTGTCGAGTACTGTCACAGTTTGTGCTTGTTTTATATTTATTTTTTTCTACTCGTTTTTCGGGGGATCAGATATTATCATATTTTACGTAACTTACATTCAGAGCTTGTGAGTCTAATCCCCTTCTTGTCTGTTAAATTGTTTACATTTATACCGTCATTAAATAAATGACATAATTCATCTCTATGAATGTGTTTTATTTGATTGGTACAAAGGATGTATTCGTTATAACAAAAGATTTAACCTATAGGAGAGAACAATTTTCCGAATAAGTCTCATTTAAAAATCAATGTTCTTTAGTTGTTTTCTATCGTATATTTGTCTGAATTTTTCAAATTTGCATTTTGAACCTATTTTTTTATTTGCAACTTTGAAATTAACTTCCAAAGCTGCTCAAAACAGTATTTTGTCCGTTAATGCACTGTTTTTTGCGTGAATTTTGGCATAGAAGTCCTTCGGGGCACGCCTGCCCCTATATTACATTATGAAATTTTTGATAGATTTTGATCTAAGGAATAATTTAAAACAAGATTATTTCAGGGGCACCCCTGCCCTAGGGTCGAAATTCGTAAAAAATCTACAAAAATGCGAAAACCTATTTCTATCATACTGGTATATATATCTATGACATTGGTGTTCATAGTCAGTTTATCTCAGAGAGATAGACCGCAGACTCTCACCATGAACATTTTTAGTGTCCTGGATCGAATCCACCTTTTGGCATACTTTTATTTTTTCAAATTTTCACCTGTATAAACACGAAATTAATTTTTTTGGTTTTACAGGCTTTTGCATTTTACTTCTATTTTCTTCATTAAATGTATGTTTGCTGTTGATATAAATGACATTTATGGAAATGCAGATCATAAAATCTCTTTAACTAAACGCAATCAACCGGAACTATACAGTGTAAGCACACTTTGTTCGAGGACACGAACCATACACTTTATGTTACTTGATATTGCAGGTGTCACGAAAAAAAAATCATGCCGAGCAAAAATTGCTGCGTTTGTCTTTCAAGAACATCTCTGGGTAATAGTACTGTTGTGCCAGTGGGAGATATACTGCGCTATGCAGAGTAGATGCAGTTCATTCCTTGGGAAAATTGTGGGCATTGGCGATATGTTATGCCAAACAGGAGGGAGGTTTACAGATTAGAAAAGAATGTGGTAAGGTCAGTTAAGGTTTTATGTCCCGTTGCCATTACCCAGGCATCAAGTTAGGACCCTCATACAAAGGATGTATCTGTAAATACCGAGGTAGGGTCATATGAACACACAGTTGACTTCAACTAAAGCGATACATGAGAAACAAGAAACTACACGCATGTGGCCTAAAGTCAGCGACCAGAACGGATATCGATAAGCTTTTTATAAAAACTGAAACCAATATCGGCCCTATAGGTCAACACATATATTTACCTAGAAGTGATCTTTTAGCAAAAACTACCTGTGTTGAGCTTGCCTAGCATTAGAAGACATAAATAATTTCATGATATAAGCAACTGATATTCCATCTTTCAGCTCAAACAGTCTAATCTATGCCCTTTCGCTTTTGAGGTTAATTGGAAATTTACTTATCAATTAACCAATGGATCCACTCCTCTGGATCACTTGAACTGCATCAAGTCAAGACTTATGATATCGTTCATGTCATAAGATTTGTTTCTTAACTCAGCCGTATTGTTATCAAATGATTATATTTTGCATGCTCTAATTAATAATAGATTAATTGAATGTTGTATATAAATTGTTATTTACGCATCATCTTATGGTAAAATTGATTTTGTCACTTGCTAACGTTTTAATGATGTAGCAATGATATTTTCCAAACGGTGCAACTTTGACCTTCCTTATCTTAGCTGACAATATTGCATGAGAATGAAATATGTCATTTATTGAAACTAACAAATGACGAAAGCTTTGATTCACTGACAAAGAAAGAAATAGACAATCGTCAAACATTTTGTCAACTAGTTAGACAAGAATTGATCACATTTGTCCTGATCCCCCCTATAAAACTATATATATATATATATATATATATATATATATATATATATATATATATATATATATATATATATATATATATATATATATACAAACAGGGACGTAGCAACGGTTTCAAAAGTGGGGCGGGAGGCATCTTCCCCTCCAAAAATCTGACAAATCTGACAAGCAAAAAAAAAATTAATTGACTAAAAGTGGAGGAGCAAACTTCCCAAAATCATCTGACAAGGAAAAAAAAACAGTGCAAATTTTGCAATTTGACATCTAAAGGAAAATTTACTTTAGCAAAATACTATACCCCCCCCCCCCCTCGCGTTCTACGGGCTGACAAACGGGCCTGACAAATAACAATAATACCAATAAGTTTAAATACAAACTTTGAAAACTTGTTGCCGATACAAGGATATCTAGTTGCAGATCTGTAGCAAAGAGCTACTGTGCCACCCATTGAAGAAAAGTGTGTATTTATTGCGCACAAAAGAGAGCGCTGTTTCTCGATTTATTTCTCA